AAAAAAAAAAAAAAAAAAAAAAAAAAAAAAAAAAAAAAAAAAAATCGGTACATCTATATAATATACATATAATATCTATTGCAACGCAAATGTAATGAAAAAACGATTCATGAAAACATAATATATCCATTCGCCTCGCATCACTCGTATACATATATTATATACCACACGAACGCGTGGTGAAACAATGAAATCGGATCGTCTCCGAAATAGAGAGGAAAACGAGTCAATTATATACGCAGCCTTGCATCGTCATAACTCTCATTAGTTATGCGCATCACGCACACACAGACGCGTAACTATAAACATGAAAACGATGGGAGAAAAACAGAGGAGGTAAAAGTATTGTATGTTAAAACACTACCGAGCTTGGTCTCCATGGGGGTGATGATCTGCGGCAGTACGTCCTCGGTGAGGGCAAAGTGCCGGCCGAACTTGCTGGAATCCGAGACGTGTTTCGGCTCGACACCCAGCTGCAGTAGGTACAACCACTGGGACTTGACCGAAAAGTTCGCCAGCAGGGACAGCTCCTCCACGAATGGCTCCAAGTAATCTTAAGCAACACCGATCATCGATGTAATGATAATATGTTTTATTAACCAGATGAGGTTGAAGGTAAGGTGCAATAATCATAAATATAGAGTTGGCACCTTGGGCGATGCGAGCCAAGCCGCGGTCGATCCTCATGCGCTCGGGATCCGGGCTGACCAGGCTGAGGAGGACGTCGTAGTTGGGACTGGCCGGGAAGCGCCTTCGGTTCTCCACGTCCAGACTGTACTCCGTCGGCTTGTCCAGGGCGTTGCGGGTGAGGAGGAGCACCTTCTCCCGCAGCATCCACTGGCTCACCACGTCGCTTATGCTGCCCGCGTCTACGCGTGTACATCACGTTGGGGAAGGAAGGTCAGAAATAAAGGCAAACACAACGTGTGTGGTGGTCCAATGCGCCCTTACCGGCTCTGCTGGAAAAGTAAATCGAGCGGCCGGAGGTGACGTGCGCGAGATTACCACCGAGCGCCTCGGCCGCGCACTCCAGCAGGAGGATGTCGCCGTGCGTGAGGCTGAAACTCTTGGCGGACCTGTCGAGGTCGGCTATCGTCTTGTCCCTGGGTATCGACGAGTTGCCCGTGACAAAGTGCGACACCGTCACCGTGTACATTCCTGCGGTAGAACGTCACCGGGTTAAAAGAGGCGCGAGGTGCTACCATTTTCTTTCTCTTCTTTTCGATAATAATTATACTCTCACTTTTCTTTTTTACATTCTACGAATGGGCATGTGTGCTTTTCTTGCGCGACTTCTTACATGTACGGAATATATTATCCGGTGCTAGTATATTGTCACTATGTTGTTTTAGCTGATGATTTTATTTTTCATTTTTCAAGCGACCGGGAAGTCGGTCATTTTTACATTACGGAGGACTTTTTTTTTTTTTTATTAAATTGGCACTTTTCGGAGAGAAGGGGGTATCGAGGCTGTACCTATATACAGCGAAAGACGATAATTCACGAAACAAACTTGGGTTTTGTTTTCCGGTATACTGTTCAATTAAATCAAAGTCGAGTCAAATGACCATAATATACCGGGTCGCTCTGGTGCCAAATGACGCAACGTGAACCTCCAACTACTTAGTTACAGCTACTATTTACGAAAAGTGGATCTTTTAAAATGAAAATTCACGGCAACTAATAACTATTAAGTACCACAACAAACGTTGTACATATTATCGTCCGGTCAACTGTAGATAAAGATCGTAGTACTTGATGGTTGCTCGACGAAGAAAAAATATGATTGAAAAAATTACATGTAACGTAAACAATTTACGATTTAAAAAAAAAGGGGGGAAAAAAGTTTTGCGCAATCAAGGCTGCCCGGAAGGCAAACGCGTCAATTCCTTGTTCCCCGAAAAAGAAAAAAAAAAAAAAAAACTTTGTTGGTCCCGGCGAATGGCGCATAATTCTGATAAACGCATATATATACACAGTCAAGTTTCCACTGGAAGTCCTCGCATGGCGCACTCACCAGAGTGTCCGGAAGCCGTGAGTGAGTTGAAAATTTCCGTGGCCAAGCGCTGGCAGCGGTACTCGTCGAGGCAGCCCAGCTGGACTTGCACGTGGATGCGGAGGTCGAGATGGCTGAGGGCCTTGATGCCCGCGTAGGGCAGAGCGACCCGCGGCACGGCCGTTGTGTCCCACCAGAGAGGCACGCCGACCACCAGCAGGAGGACCGCGAACGAGATGCTCGCGTACACTCGGCATTTTCCTGAAATCACCAAGTTTTTTGGGCTATGAACATTAGCTGGTGCATCGAGGGCTGATTCATGCATTTGCCTAACAGCGCAAATGTTCGTCCGAGGATTTTTTTTTTTTTTTTTTTTTTTTTTTTTTCACAAGCACGTATAGCCCGATTATTATGAAAACGAAAAAGTATCCCTTTACCCTCGCTCCGTACCATATTTTCTTTCATTCAACAAATTAATGGTCATTCAATCATTGTACTCAAAAAAATTTTTTTTTTTTTTTTTTTAACATTTTTTAAAATTTTTGTTCATGGAATAAAGTAGTTTTTCCGATTATCTTGAATTTTTTCAGTTGCTTTTATAAGTGTTAGTTTTCTTTTTTTTGTGTGTACAGAAGTATTTATTGTTATCATCGTTTGGGCATCGGAGGGATGTATCAGAACATTTCATTATAATGAAGTATATCAGAGCTTCGAGTGCACAAGGGGATCTTGATTCGCTCATCGAGTTGAACATGTCTATTTTGAACTTATATCGTTAAAAAAAAAAGCTCCGAGCCATAATGGCCCTGCAGTCAACTCATGACGATTAACCGTTAGAGGTTCATAATTATTTTTTGGATATTCCATATTGATTTCTTAATGATTTCTATGGTACAATGCGGTATAAACTGGTTCGCTACATCACATCATTTTTATATACAAGTTTCGAGGTTTTTGTGGTACGTAAGCGACAGTCAAAATTTGTTTCATGTTCTGAATACGTTTGCACTTTATAGTAATGTAGACCAAGTACTTATGTATAGCTGCGAAAATTACATAAATAATCAATAAACAAAGATTATACGAAAATAAAATCAGCTAAAAATAATTTTCAAATAGACTCCAAATGATTGAATCAAAACACATATAAACTACGGTAAAACGGGTGCATGTAGGATTTATTCATTTGAAATAGTTTCACAACGCGAAAAATGCCAATTATACTTAAAAAAAAAAATGATGGCACAAACGCTGATCTATAGGAAATAGATTTTTTTCAAATCATCATTGACATACGCGCGCATCGTATTCTCTTTCATCAGAGCAGCTCATCGAGCGCTCAATAAATTCTTCGGATCGTTTGTTTCAACAGCAAATCGATTCATTGTTTACACGCGAGCTATGGAAGAAGAAAAAAATTTTGTTGTCGGTTTCAAGTTTGCGATCACGTTACGAGAGATTTTTTCCGCGAAAACAACAATTTCAGCTCATCCCCGTGTATAATCTTCGTTAATGCTAGGCTGGGAACATTTGAAACGTCCGAATTATCCTGTGGCCGTGATCCCGAAAAAAAAAAAATACGTTTTTGCGCGCCTCTCTCGAAAAATCCCGTCCGATCGCGTGTCCTTCCGAAATCCGTTATTTTTAGACCTAGTCAACGAAACACGATGTAAGGTACGTTACGCAAACGCGGTCTGCATCGAGAGCGACTAATTATGAACACACACATAAAATTATTTCCCGAACCACACCTGCTCGAGCAACTACACATTATTGTCTCGATGAAATTGTTTGTAAAACCAATATTAAATCGCATGAAAAAAAACAAAAAAACAAAAAAAGCTCAAGCGTCAAACCGGTCGACGACCTCGTCCCGAGTAAAAGAAAAAGAGCAGTCGTCTACCTACTTATGCCAAAGTTAGATCGCCGTCACCGACGTGCAGCTTTAAAAATCAAACAAACGCACGCGCTCAATGGCTCGTGCAAGCGTCCGTTTCCTCCTGAATATTCATTGGCACCCTTTCACTGGTGTGCCGATCAATGAAAACGGCTCTCCCCGGCACGCGCACACTCAATAGACGTATTATAATTTTTGCAACAAAAAAAAAAAAATCAGATCGAGAGAGATTTTGAAAACTGGTCGAGGATCCAAAAGGAGAATCAACTCGTAGGTTATTTTCCATCCTTCTCGAGACGAGTGATTAATGATTTAATCTCGTATTTCATCTCTGATTGGCACGTGTCCAATGGATTCGCGATAAATTTGAAGACTGGCGCGTCGTCTGATTTTGCGAAAAATGCAAATCTATAACACACGTCAAGTGAAAATGAACAAAAAAAAGTATTTTCTCCGTAAAAAATGACACATCGACTCGCAAGAGCAAAAAAATCTACCATAGCGATTTCAAACCCAAGTTATCGTATACCAAAAATCGAAAAAACAGTTTGTGCTTGCGGCCAATAAATCGAGTGCAGTACAGCACAATATGTAAAGTGTATTTATAGTGAGAGAGCGAGCAATTCGAGTGAGTGTATCAATCATATTACGACGACACATGGCGCATTGGATTCTTATGCAATAGCCACGTTGTGCATCATCATCTGATCCGAGTTTTTCTAAAGGCGATCGAAAAAATCGATAAACGAAAAGTGAAAAAAAAATGTATGAAATCGAAATAGAATACGTAAGCAAATTGGTTACGAATCGGACGGAAGGAGCCGGCATGTGTGTATACACATTTCTGACATCTGCGCATCAAAAGATAAAGAAGATTAAAAAAAAAAAAAAAAAAAAATTTAGCATCTGACGAGCGCAAAGGAAAGTTCATTCACGTTTGTATTGCGTGTCCGTGCAGCAAAAGCATGTCGGTATGTTATGTGTATCTACGAGTGAATATGACACACTGACGTATTCATGAGTTGAAATTCTTTGACACATAAATATATACGTGTTATGAGGCATGTACGGGAGGGACTTTGTGTTTTTCGCGTGGGCGAGCTTTTGTCAAAGTGGAGTCACAAGTGGATGCGCCTATCATTTTTAGGAGCGCAGACTTGGGCACCATTATATTTTATGAATTTTCCTAACACTCAACACAATGGAGTACAGCGTATACTGTTTGTTGAATAATTTTCTTTATTCATCACCATTTTTAATATAATATTGGAAAAAAAATCTTTTTTACACGAACTCCTTTTTTTTTTTCCTAAATTGTTTTTCTTTCAAATTATAAAGCATCATCTTTGCGGGAAACATTTGTTCCAAGCACCACATTGTGGTAATTTGAAACAATTTTTTTTTAGTCCAATAAACCATTATAGATTGTACAACAGAAAAAAATTGTAAAAGTATTCGTGACCAAGTCTGCCTACCAAGCAACATCAGGTCGTTGCATAAATTAATAACCTGTCCCTTTTTTGTCGCACAAAAGGGTGGCACTGCCCTTAAAGTTATACACACACACACACACGTACTGGAGAGACATTGTTGGGCCATTTAAGGTGGTTACGAGTATTAATAATCGCGGCTCCTCGACTGAAATGACGGTAAACACTTACGTGCACACGGGACGGAACGACAGCGACAATGACCAGCTGATCCGGTTATTTCAAGATGCAACCGACCAATTTGTTTCGGCATAGATATTGGCTGCTTTGATTATATCTTATTACGAATTTTGTACTGCTCGGCGCGAAGTTTTAGAATTTCGTATAATTACCAAAGGAATTAGATGTTTGGCGAAGGTATCGAGGTAATGAGACCATCCTGTAAATGTTCCAATTTTCCAATCCAAGTATGAAAGGTTGTCGTTCAGGCGGGGATGAAAAAAGGGTTCGATGAAGGTATTTGTGTAAAAGAATTTATTCTCCATAATACTTTGTAGTTGGATTGAAAGTAATGTATACTTTTTTTTTTTCACACGTTGAAAATAAAAAATCGGAAAATCCCTATTAACCACTCAATCTGCACTTGCTCTGGATTAATATTTATATACATATATATCTAATAAAACACTGAATGTGACTTGATGGGCTCATATGTATAGTTAGCAGTGATTAAATTTTAACAATAGTCGTTGACTTTAGATTTCACTGCAGGCTAAAAATTCCACGAGTCGCTTTATACGTCCAAAGGAATCATTGCCTGATTTGTTATAAATTTGAAGAGACTTCCAATTCGTGACTGGCAAGGTCAGGTATGTTAAAAGTAGGTATCTCGAGGAAAGAAAGAGATGATTCCAAATCACATCACTATCGTTTGGAAAAAACTTGTTTTAAACGCGGTAACTTCTTTTTTCATTTAAGCTTTGTGGATTCAGTGCTGCTATTACACTAAAAATGACTTTTGAATACTCATCAAAACGCGATAGTCATTTCTCTCTATTGTACACCTCCACTTCAATGTACCATATAACATGTACAATATTGAAACCGAGGTTTTACCATGAAATTGGGAAATTCACACTATTAAAATGGTAATAATCGTGACAAGTAATGCCAACGAGAATCATTCAAATTTCCCATAATCATACGTATATACGTAAATGCATACATAAAATACTCGATTAGTCATTTTAATGTGAAGTGTAATCAAAGTCGGCAAGGGACGAGAGAGTAATGAAACACGTGTCGCGAAATGCATTGTTTTCATCTCGGAATATGGCTAAGAATCGTCATTCCGACGAGCGAATCGTGAAAAAGCCAAAAGATCGCTGAGGACGAGAAAACGATCGACAGGTTTGTTTGTAAATATCGCGTATCGCGGCTCACCAGAACGCACGGCTGACAACTCGACTCTATGTATACGATTAATTTCACTGCTTAAAATTCACTGTGCAAACACCATGTGTTTTATAGTTTGGTTTTCTCGACTATACGTATACGTTATGCCTTTGGAAGCTCCGGTATAACGAAAATGATTGACATTGAACTTTCAAAAAAAAAAAAATGTATCATTTTACACGTTCAACAAAAGTATATCGAATACAGCTCAGACGAAGGAAAAAAAAAAAAAAAAAAAAAAAACAAAAAAAAAAAACCTGCGTCAAGGGTCGTGGAGAGCACACAAATTTACCCCCTTACACGGAAGGGAACATAACGCTTGGCACCTATCGCTTTCCCCCCTTCGCGTGTGTGCACGGGCAAAAACAATTACGCAAAAGAAAGAAAAAAAAAAAAACAGCCGTGTATCCGAAGCAAAGGTGTGTACAGTGTACTTACACCCGTAATAATACACGTATACGAGCAATGAACGAGGAAGCGTTGTCGTGCCCATAATACCTACACAGTATTTAAGTGCCCGGTAGTTATGCGTACCTACATACGTATACCCTTGGTTTTTTTTTGTTTTTTTTTTTTTCCTTTTCTTCCACTTTTTCTTTTTTTTTTATATTTGTTCTTCATCACCATTGTACCTATACCTACGAGTATACGTGGAGCAACAAAAGTAGGGAGGGAATATCAGAGAAAGACAGAGTCATTTTTCCGTGGCGAGCGTTTAATGCTCGCGTAAGCGCTAGCGCGTACACCCAACAGTTGTTAGTTCAACGGCTGCTGCACAACTAACTGGTTAAAGTGCCGTGCGCGCTCGTACACCCTTTTTTCTCGCTATTTTTGAATTTTTACTTGAACATTTACAATTTTTTTTTTTTCTTCCTCTCCTTCGAGCAACATGTGAATACAGCGAGGCTTATGCCTCTGTTTTTTTTTTCAAGTTTTTTTGGCCGCTTAAAATTTTCTCGAAGGAAAAGCTCAATTTTCTCTTTTCGAAAGGCGTTTTCGTGTAGAATCGGTGGCAAAGTATGTGCAATCGTTTCGTGCAGTTTGACAAGTCTTTTGAATAGTCTTGGACCCATTTGTTCTTGAAGCAGTCCAAGGTAATCGTATTTTATTTTATTATTTTATTTTTTAACCAATGAAATTTTTCGACTCTACTTATAAAAATAGAATTCCTATTCATGAGTTGAAATTCTTTGACACATAAATATATACGTGTTATGAGCCACGTACGGGAGGGACTTTGTGTTTTTCGCGTGGGCGAGCTTTTGTCAAAGTGGAGTCACAAGTGGATGCGCCTATCATTTTTAGGAGCGCAGACTTGAATAAAAGATACGCAAGTTAAATGCGTTAAACAAAGAATTATATATTTTTTAGAGATTTAAAACTTATTTGAATGTGATTCGTCTATTTTTTAAATTACAATAAAAAATTTTTTTTTATCCAAGCACAGTAATACAAAAAAGATTTTTTTTTGATTCGATGACACCTACCCTATTTCAAATGATTACATTATGGTACATAAAGTACGCACTAAATTTAAACTTAATCGGATTCAAATGACTTGACCAAGTCTACAAGCTGATTACGTGGACGCAAAGTTAATAACATAAATCAAATTTAAATTACACTCATTTTGGGAGGACAATTTTTTTCCTGCAGACCAAATGATTGCCTGATACATATAAGTAGCCACATTTTTTGCTCTGGTAAAACAAATCCTGAATTGACTCTAACGAATAACTCCAACACTCTCTCAACAAAATAAATGTATGTTGATAAGACACGGGACTTAAATAAACATTTTGCTCTTACTAGTTTACTGCGTAAATGATCGTGTATTCATTTCAACATAAAAAATAGCTCGTCGATTACAATTACCATGAAATCGGATCATGTGGGAATAAAGATCTTCGAGAGTATGATTGTATGTTCGAGTACATGGTAATGTTAATAATATCATGTTTGCGATAAAAGTATACTTTTGTTCTGTGCTTGTATAATATCAATTAAAATCCACGTGCGATCGTGCAATTTTATTGTACAAAATCACGAATGTACGGTCATTGGAGCGTGCAATAATAAAACAATGAGAGAAGCAGGTCAGTCGAACAAAAAAAAAAAAAATCGAGCAAAAGCTCGAACCGTTTGGCACTAGATTCGCGGAAAATCGTTAAAATCGTGTCAAATGCCAGACGGGCTTTTACACGCAGAGATAAAAACCTCGAGAGGATCCCTTTAAAAGTGAACGTTCGTTGACTTCTGCGATGACAAGTTCATTAACGCTACAAACTGCGCGCTCGTCACTTAGTTACATACACGGAGAGTATTTGATGTGGGGCACGATTATGCTATTTGTGTCAAATTTCTCAATTACATTTTATGAGCAGGTTATTGTTATTTTTATAAATTGTCGTGCACATAGATGTACACGTGACGGAGCGAGCGAAATAATTTTTTTTTTTTTTTTTACTTTCCAATGTAGACACGCTGACAATCGTCCTGGTATCGAGTTCAAAGGCAAAAATGACGAGGAAGCTGGGAAAAAATAATACCTCCATTGTGGACATGGAGCTCAGCATGAATGAGTCAGTTGGAACTTACAAAAATCTTTGATGGGGAAATATGTATGCACACGATATGAACATTATTTTTTTTTTTACAGCAAGTCAAAAGAAAACCCACAAGCCAAAGATGCTACTTTTGGGACATTGCTGGGGAATTTCATCAACATTTACTGGAAAACGCTCGTCGTCGTGATCTGGCCTCTCATTCTCATGCCCCTCGTTATTTTGAACAACGAACAGGTACATTTTTTTACCATAAATAATAATAATTTTAAAAAAATGCACATCAGTTTAACATTAGCCAATCGACTCAGCAACAATAATGAAAAACATGTTAGAAGTACAGGTGTCTATTCGTGGTAGCTCTGATGTCGGTGTACTGGGTGACGGAAGTGATACCACTACCGATCACAGGCCTTTTACCGATCGTTCTTTATCCTCTGCTCGGCGTAATGGACACGGAAGACACTTGCAAGTGTTACATGAACGACACGACGATGATGTTCGTGGGAAGTCTTGTCATTGCTTTGGCGATCGAGCATTCCGGCCTACACATGAGGGTGGCCTTTGTTATCATCAAATTCATCGGCTGCGGTCATCGAAAGTACGCCTATTTTACTTATTTATACAGGTTTTCCGTTTTAAACGTATATAAACACGATGATGAAATTTCAGATTGAGCTTGGGCTTGTTCTTGGTCACCATGTTTATTTCGATGTGGATCTCAAACACCGCAGCCACGGCTATGATGTTACCGATCGTCGAAACAGTTCTCATGGAGTTAGAAGCGGTACGAAAAACTTGCAGTATCCTACGTGCACACATGAATGTTGGAGTAATTTTTTTTTTTTTTTTTTTTTCTTTTTAGCAAGGATTAGGTAAAATGTTCGTCCAGGACGAAGACGAGGACGAGGACTCGGAAAGGTAGGTGCCAAAATATCACCTGTTGATCACGACCGGCTTGATAACGAATGATTTATCGCATGCAATTGACCCCAAAGTTCTTTGTCGTTCCTTTGTCATTCAGCGTTTTTATTTTTCAACGCGACAGCCCAAAGAGGCCGACGAAACTAACGATGGGCTACTACTTGGCCATAGCCTACGCCTCGAGCATCGGCGGTATCGGTACTCTGGTTGGAACCGGTACGAATCTAACTTTAAAAGGCATCTACGAATCGTAAGCTCGACTCAATATATATTCACTCCCCCTCCCCACTCGGATCATTTAACTTGAGGGTAAAAACCGATAGGACCTTCCCAAAAAGTCCGGGCATTAATTTCGCCGCGTGGATGGTGTACGCGGTTCCGGTGATGATCATCATGGGCCTGCTGACCTGGCTATGGCTCCAAGTGATGTATATGGGCCTCTTCAGGCCCTCCAGCCGAGAAGCCAAGGCCATTGACATAGGCGACGAGGGCGAAAAGATCGCCGCATCCGTGATCGAGGCCAAACACAAGGAGCTCGGCCCTGTCACTTGGCACGAGTCTTGCATCGGTATTCTCTTCGTGACCATTCTGATGCTGTGGTTCTTCAGGAAGCCGGATTTCATCAACGGCTGGCCCAAGTTCATCACAACCAAGTAGGTTTGCACCTCGTGTGTATATATGTACATTATCGGTACAAGTAGATTAAATTATTTCTTCCCAGGGACGTCAAGGACTCGACGGCAGCGGTGGGCCTTATAATCCTGATGTTCGTCCTTCCGTCGCGGCTGGACTTTTTGAGCGCGTTTTCCAGCGATCCTAACAAACGGCCAAAGAAACGCTCGCCTGGACTCATGTGCTGGAAACTGATCATGAAGAAGATGCACTGGGGCTTGATATTCGTTCTGGGCGGTGGTTTTGCCATAGCCACGGGCAGCCGGTTGTCCCAATTGTCGGACACGTTGGGCCACGCACTCGTTTTCTTGCAAAAGATGAACTTCCTGGCGATACTCGCAGTCGTGTGCCTATTCGCCGAGACCGTGACAGAACTTACGTCCAACGTCGCCGTGGCGAACATCATTTTGCCGGTGTTGGCGGACATGGTATTAACGATGATATATATTTTGGTCAACGGGTCTTGTGATTTTTTAATAATTCATTTCGATACTTGACGTTTCAGGCGAAGGCTATCAAAATCCACCCGCTGTATCTGATGGTGCCAGCAGCCCTGGGTTGTTCTTTCTCGTTCCACCTACCGGTGGGTACGCCGCCCAACGCCATCGTCAGCGCAGCCGCGAAGATCAAGACCAAGGACTTTGTGATTGCTGGTATCGGGCCGAGCCTCATCACGGCTGTCGTCGTGCCCCTATCCTTTGCCACATGGGGCGTCTATGCTTTCAACTTGGATGATCTTCCCATGGAGATGATGGATTTTAATTGAGGATTTCTTTTTCTATTTTATTTATTTATTTTTGCTCATAGACATGCCAAGCATTGGGATGATGAGTCGGAGCTAGTGAATAAACGACGATGTTTTTCATAAGAAATTGAACAATGAAAATCATGTACCATCGTAATGCCATAGCTTTCGTAGCGTTATTTATTTTGGTACTTCTATGGAGCATAAAGTCTGCATAAGAAGTTAGCGGAGAACACATTTTTGATGAACCTATACGTGTACATCATGCCTTTCCGTGATTTTTGTTTATTTATGTATGTGAATGCGAGGAATATGCATGTGTATATTTATCGAAAATTTAGTATTTAAATATGTACTTTTCAAACTTTTCTTTGTGATCTTGTTTAGTTTTGTAAACTAGTACTATGTACTGTAAAAATGAGAGATGTAAGTATGGAGAAAAGTTGTAAAAAAACGAAAGCAAGTATTGATTATGAAAATAGTTCAAATTGCATTTTTGAAACTGGTACAAAACAAGATTATTTTGAATAATAAATATAGTATTACAAAAAATTGAGACATATTTTTATTTATAAACTACTATGTATTTTCCTTTCAAATACACTCCATAAAAAAATTTTAAATATTTCGTGTATTTCAATACGTCCCTATTATTATAAATTAACATCTACATAAAGTCAACAATGATATTGAAATCCTTATTAACTATTATATACTTCTTTTGGTTACATTTGGCAAAGATATTTATGTAAATTTAGAATAGTTTTTCCCATTGATGTAATAGCAGGAATCCACTTGTAAACAAAGCTGTATTACAAAAATTAAAAATTAAAATTAGTAATTTGTTCTTTTACTTACGATCAGTGGGAGTGTCGTGTCCAATAACTGCCGGTGATTCTTTGTCAGTCATGATTTTTGTACAGTATGTGTGTATCACTTAACTAATTATTTTTAATAATTCATACCGAATATGTCAAAAATATTTTATAGGTTAATCTTGATTTCTGACTTATCACAGCCTTCGTATACTTAGAATCATAAATACTATTAATAACTTCACATTCTTAGCTTCTATTTACACGAGCAATGCCATATAATTGGAAAAAATTATAAAATTTGACACTAACAAACGATATTGTGCTAAGATATGACGTTACTGGAGTTTTGGTTCAGTTTCAACTGTTCCAAGCAGATTTAAAACACCGAATCCAACAGCTGATTCGTGTTTGAGAGGAATAGGTAGGATTTTGAACCACTAAACAAAACAAAAAATTACGGTCTCCCACGCCGAACCTGTGCCAAACAGAAAAAAGGTTGAAACAAATTCAGAAAATCAAGCAAAGTAAGTGAAAATTGATGATTATTTTTATATTAATTTGGTGAATTTTACCTTACTTCAACTTACTTTTCTCCATGTTTACTGATAATTAGAAAATAAATTAGCAGTAGAGTAAGTAAGTAATCAGTGAAATATCTTGAAAGTTTCTGGAGTTTAAATAATACTGCAATCTTACAACGTAAACGAAATTTTCGAGCTTAGTTATGTAACTGAAATAGTATATATAAATTTTGATTTTAATATTCTGCAACTAAACGTTTAACGACATATGCTGAATGCAGCCTTAAGATTATAGTTGTTTTTTTATCAGTTTTAATATACGTTGTAGCAATTTTATGCGATTCTTTTCAGGAACAATGGATGACTCGGAAGAAGTTCAGCTTGGTTTCTTAGAAAGTATGTTTGGAAGAAATCCCATGGAAGTTCCATGTTTCAGAACAACTTTTTTTTATTCAATCTCATCGTACATTGGTGTGGGCCTGCTGACATTTCTATTTACAAGCAAACCTGCACTTTCATCCCATGTAGGAATGGGATCATTTGTTGCTGTAACACTGGGTTATTATAGTTTTTGTAGATATCAGTTTGCTTATCAAAAATTTAATTCTGAAAAGTTACAAGAGTTATTACATAAAGCTGCTGTTATGGAAGGAGTTGAGGAAGAAAATAAACTTCAAGAAGCTTAAAACTACGATTATTGGATTCTGAATTTTTTTTATTATCAAACTTGATTTATGTACAAAGTGTAAATAGACGCATTTTAATTTCAATGATATTGTTATTTTTTTTATGCAATCCTGGCTAGTGGCGTCGTACAACATGATATTTGGTTATTATTACAGTAATTCTAACGTTTTGAATTTTTATTTATCAAATATATTTAATATTCTGATTTTTTTTACTTTTACAAAAGTGATTTATTACAAGTAATCCATCTACTAGTATACACAACGTAATCATATAGTTTTTAAATGCAATCAAGAAAATACAAGTTAATCAGAAATCTTACACTTACACATCAGCTTAAATTACATAAAAAAACATTATTGTTCTGGTTATACTTTAAAATATGTTTAAAATGTTTATCATAGCTTAGATGATTTACAAGAGACCTTGTCGCTTCAAATCTTCATAGGTCTTACGATTCACAACATTACCTAATGAATCTTCGAATTCTTCTTCCTGTTCAGGCTGCCACCTTTCCGACTGTTTTTGTGCTTTGAGTTTCTCCCAAAGCGCCAGGGCGTCTTCAATTTGCGTAACATTAGCAAAATGTGCAGTATTAGGAATTCCAAGGCAGCGCATACCGTGCGCATGTCTCCACTCAGCAAAGTGCCTCTGGAAGGCTTTGGGTCCTTTGTATGTAAAGTTACCACAAATTTCGCAATTGTAGCTGATGTTCAAGCCATGTAATTTGTACAACCAGTAGGGAATAGGTTTACCATCCCAACCAAGCGGAAGGTTTTTAGGATTATAAGGAACGTCGTTGTCATCCTCCTCCTCGGATTCACTTGCGCTAGCTTCAGCATCGGAATCACCGCGTTCGCCTTCTGTACGGGCTTGCTTTCTTTGAACATTTTCTTTAGTAGCTACTCTGTGACTAGAAACCAATTCTGCAAGTTTGTAGACATGAGCCTCGAGTCTAGCAATTTCCCTTTGTTTTTCAACATTTTTGCCTTTGCCTGGTTTCCTCTGTGTTTTTCTTGCCAAAAGATTGGGGTCAAGAGATGCTTCGCCCTTTGTGCTGAACAATCTCTGTGCTCTTTCTTCCAGAGTTCCACCACATTTAAGTCCAAGTGCCATCAGCGCAGATTTCAATCTATCTAGGCCAAGTGATGCCAGTTCTTCCCACGATGAGAATGCTGATAGTTCCAAGTGAGCACCAACGTTTGTAAGTGCACTGCCGGCTTCCTTTGGCCAACCAGGAAAAGTATTGTTTTCCCACTGCATTGTAAACTCTTTGTTAACTCCCGACAGTTCCGTGTTCAAGTCAAGCAGAGGTCTAACTCTGGTCAAGTAACCTGTCAAGTACTCCAGAAGCGATTCAATGTACTTTTTGTACTCGGCGTTTTTTCTGTCTTTTGGAATGTCAAAAAGATGGTCGAATGTTGATAAGTACGTTATGTAGTCGACTTTTTCTATTCCTTTTAAATTGATGTATTTTTCGTAACACTCGTGCAAATCCAGATACTTTCCATATCCTTCTTCATCCGTGAAATCAACGAGGTTCGCATTATCCTCTGTCGGATTTTCTCTCATTTTAGCTATTTCTTCAAATTCAATAGACATAGGAACACTTATTTCATTTGGATGTCTGCGGTAAAATTCTTTTATGGACTTTAATCTGTTATAGAACTCTGAAAACTCGTTTGGTCCAGAAAGCGCTTGCACCTGAAATAAACAAAAATTCATCCAATAACGAATTAACTAGAATGTATGTTTTGTACCAAGTATATTTCACTCGATATGTTAAGTCACAAACAAAACAAAGCATCAAATTGGACAACAAACCTCTTCCTTCCTCTGCCCATCCTTATCCTCGTACAACTCGTACACGTTGGCCGTGCTCTCCGTGTACTGATCCAGCAGAAGCTTTAACCGATGCTCCGAATTGATTGTTTCCCGATGTCCGGGTTTTTTGTGCAGCATCTCCTTGACCATGGCGTCCATAAGACGCTCGCGCTCCTCGTGATAGCGACGCTGTTGTTCCAGGAGCGTCTCCATCGTGCTGGTGTTGAATTTTCAACCACAACACTATAGCAATTTTACCTAACGTTCAACAACTTTTGTAAAATATCCGTGGCAGACGCCAATTTCGTCATTTCGAGGTTATCATCCTTTTCCAAAAAAAACACACACACACACACAACACGCCAAATTTGGGTAGCCGATCGGCCGCTAGAGTAACAGCGCGGAAATTCAAATGACCGACAGAAAAGAGCGGGGTTTTTTGCGATTTCAACGCGGTTACTTCTTTCGAACCTTGACTTGGATTATTTTAAAAGAGCACAATTATGTTCATATTTGGAAATAAAAATCTACGAGTTTATAGAATCTATGTAGTTTTTTCGCAACGTATACAAGACGTTTACTTTGAATTATTAGGAATGGAATATTATTTTCTTTTTCTTCCATTGTTTTCAGTTTCCATAGGCACAGGCTGTCAAGGCCTCCGGGACTCATTTATTTTCGGCCACCGAGATGATTTGACGCGAAAAATTTCCAAGTTTCCAACATCATCACCCTTTTCGTAACTTTCATTGTAAATTTTCAAGTGTAATACCATAGTTTTTGTGAACATGTGGTAAATCTCGGCGTATAAGATTCCTCATCCCCGTTAAACTTTGGCTCCGCTCAAAATTCCCCGTGTACCGTAAAATTTTTTGGTTGTAAATAGCGCGTGGACAAGGAAAAAAAAAAAAAAAAAAAAGAAAAAAATGGTAAATAAACACACGCACAGTAACGATAATCACGAGTGTCGAGTGCAAAAGAAATAAGCACACCCCTGTAGTTGAGAAGGGCCCGTATATATATAATAACGATCGCACGCATATCATCCCGATCCAAAGCAGCGGGAATGCATATCGATACACGTCGGCCAGGCCGGAGTGCAGATCGGCAACTCCTGCTGGGAGCTGTACTGCCTGGAGCACGGGATACAGCCCGACGGCACCATACCCTCGGACAAGACGTCCGGCTCCAACGACTGCTTCGAGACGTTCTTCTGCGAGACGAGCAAGGGCAAGATGATACCCCGTGCCATAATCATCGACCTCGAGCCCACTGTCATCGGTTACTTTACACTTTCATTGCTGTTGATTATTCGACTGATCTCGATGAAACTTTAATTGTGTACGTGTACGAACAGACGAGATCCGAACGGGCAAGTACAAGCAGCTCTATCATCCGGAGCAGTTGATCAACGGCAAGGAGGACGCGGCGAACAACTACGCGCGGGGCTATTACTCGGTGGGCCAGGAAATCATACACCAGGTCATGGACAGGATACGGCGCTTCACCGACCAATGCCACAGTCTCCAGGGCTTCTTTGTATTCCACTCGTTCGGGGGTGGCACGGGCTCGGGCTTCACTTCGCTGCTCATGGAGAAGCTGAGCAATGACTACGGCAAAAAGAACAAGCTCGAGTTCACCGTCTATCCGGCTCCACAGGTTGCACGCAATTTTTTTTTTTATTTTAACCCACCTGTACATACAAGTATTGCTAGCATCATCCAGTGTGTGTGTGTGTTTTTTTAATTTGTAGGTGTCGACCGCCGTTGTCGAGCCGTACAATGCCTGTCTGACGACCCACGCGACCATCACCCACTCGGAGTGCACCTTCATGGTCGACAACGAGGCGATCTACGACATATGCAGGCGCAAGCTCAACATAGGCCGGCCGACTTACATGAACCTCAATCGGCTGATCAGCCAGGTCGTGTCGTCGATAACGGCCTCCCTGCGCTTCGACGGGGCCCTCAACATCGACCTCACCGACTTCCAAACGAATCTCGTGCCCTACCCTCGGATCCACTTTCCGCTGGCCGCTTACGCGCCGGTCATATCCGTCGACAAGGCCTTCCACGAGGGCATGTCCGTCTCGGAGATAACGGGCGATTGCTTCGAGCCTGGTAGCCAGATGGTCAAGTGCGACCCTCGCGAGGGCAAGTACATGGCCTGCTGTTTAGTTTATCGGGGCGACGTGGTGCCCAAGGACGTCAACTTTGCGATCGCCGCCATCAAGGCCAAGAGCAGCGTCAGGTTCGTCGACTGGTGTCCAACGGGGTTCAAGGTTGGCATCAACTATCAGCCGCCCACCGTAGTGCCGAACGGCGATTTGGCCAAGGTTATCATTTGTCTCTCGTTTGTCGCGTTTTTCGCGTCATTTGGTGCAGTTATTCATAAATGGTTCGTTTTTGTGTGCAGATACAAAGGGCGGTGTCGATGCTGAGCAACACGACGGCGATAGGCGAGGCTTGGGCCAAGCTCAATTACAAATTCGACTTGATGTTCAACAAACGAGCCTTCGTGCATTGGTACGTCGGCGAGGGCATGGAGGAGGGTGAGTTCAGCGAGGCGCGGGAGGATCTGGCGGCACTTGAGCGAGATTACGAGGAAGTCGCCGCAGACTCGATACCCTTGTCCATGGACGAGTACTGAAGACAAGTTTCTCGGTGTTTTACACATTTGTTTACCTTTTTTTATTCACTTTTGATACCATTGTACATTTTGGAGACTCGCTTTTTTTTTTTTTTTTTTTTTTCATCGCGTGCAGTAGTTCTTACGTACGTGTGTATGTATATGTCCAGGGTAACGATTAAATTTTACACGTGATATATGTATGTGATTCCGTTATTGAATAAATAGGACTGCAGTTTTTTTTATACTCACTAAAAAAGAGATTGTATATTTCATTAAAAACATTTATAAATTTCATACTGTAAGTATTGACGTAAATTTGAAAAATTTCGGGATAAAGGTACGTAGTACACACTTGGTAGAGAAAGGCGAATTACATAGATAGAAAAAAAAAAACGTCGTTTAATTTAATATATGGATACTGGGTATCAGTGCACAAAGTTGAAGAAATGAGTTATTTACACTATGTCTTTACACGAGACTTTACTTTTTTTTCTCATTCAGTCAGTTTTTAAATAAATTACAATGCTGTTACAATTTGCGCAAAGTACATGACGAAAAATTGAATTTATTTCAGGTATATTTCAATTATTATTTAGAATTGATTTTTCAAGAAAAATTTCATTTTTTAATTCTTTGATTTTTATTCACATATAAGTGATTCTTAATGTGTGAACAATAAGTCATCGATTGTAATTTTGGGTATAAAAATTTACGAATAGATCATAATATTAGGCTCAATAATGCCAAGTTGGAAGAATTTCAAAAATCGTTAATGTTTATAAATAAAATGTAAGAATGTGCGCTACGAAAGAATTACAAAAATTTATTGGTGCAAAAATCCAACAAGAAGAAGCTCTTACTTTTGTATTCTGATGTCATAAATTATAGCGCATTTCAAACAAATAAAAAAACGTCTCCATAAGCATGTATGGTGTCTTTCATAAAAAATTGTTTTATCTTATCTAGAAAATCATATTACGATAAAAATCAATACTTCACAAAAAGTAGTCAGCTTGAGGTTTTTTGCTTGGCGTTCCTCTACTCTCTTGCGGAGCAGCTTCAAATATCGTGAAATCTCTTTGCAAATGCTCATTTAATTCGAGTATAGCAGCCACATTGCCACACCTAGGAGAATAAACCATAAGTATTTTTTGTTTTTAAAATTTCATACTAGAAAAGTAGAAGAAAAAACTTTATTTAAATAATTGTACCTGTAACAGTAATTTGGAGCTGACCAAACTGTGAGCACTGTTTCGTTGAAGTGCCATTTATATCCTTCCATTACCAGTTGATGAGCTCTACAAATCATGTCAATGTCATTAGCAGAGTTGAACTGAGCCACGACGTCACTACCAAAGAGATAGCCTGCTCCTCGTGGAGAAACACCCCAGCCCTGAGCCTCTTCTGGATCAGACCACAAAAGGTCACACATAGGACCATCATGTGGAACCTTAGTAATCATAGCATGAATACTTTAGTGGTAACAAATCAAGGTTTTAGGATTTTTGTAAAAAAAAAATCTTACTTCTTGTTTTCTGTCTATAATACGAATTTGATCAAGTGTCTGTATACTTGGAGAGAGCCCACCGTGGACACAAAATATTTTTCCGTCAATAATGGCAGACAGCGACAGATAGTCAAAAATTTCCGTACAATGACGCCAAACTGTATTGCTTCCGTATTTACGCACACATTCATCATAAAAGCCATAAACTTGCGTAATCTGCCTTGATTCGTGATTGCCTCTGATTAAAGTGATTCTGTCTGGGTAACGAACCTGCAAATAATACCAAAAAATACGTATGGTATTCTCAATTTGTATTTTACAAACATAAAAATTAGAAATCTTACTTTTAAGGCTAACAAAAGAAGAAATGTTTCAACACTGAAAAATCCTCTGTCCACAAAATCTCCCATGAATAGGTAATTCGTCTCAGGAACGTCGCCGCCAACTTTGAACAACTCTTTTAAATCATAAAACTGTCCATGTATATCCCCGCACACCTGTATCAATGAAACAAACAAAAAAAGTATTTCAATCTTATCACTCTTAAGGAATTATTAAATAAAATTTTGATTTTTTAATACACACAGTGACTGGTGAATCTACTCTTTGAACATTGCTCTCTTCAATGAGAATTTCACGAGCTTTGGCACAAAGTGCTTTAACTTCCGCTTCATTTATTATTTCACACTTCTTCAGTTGCTCTATCTGCCGATCCAGATCACTGGAATCGGCCATTTTAATTTATTTAATAGTGTTCTTAACTAGTTGAAATATCTGAAAAAGAAAAATTTTATTGGAGTATTACCTGAAAATCAATAGTGTCGACATCAAACAAATAAGGTTATGTATTTGCAATTTACTGTAAATAAACAACCATTCTAACTGTTTCAATACAATCAAAACATAGAAAGTAAACGATAAATACTTCAGATTGAAGTGCTAGTAACATACTAAAAATCTATGGAAATTTTAGTGATGATGTTGTATTAAATCACAGCAAAAACACATGTCTAACAGACTTAATGGGTGTATTGTACTATTAACATGAAAGCAGTAAACATTTACTTGTACTTAAATCAATGCAAAATCAGAAAGTAGGTGTACGTAAAATACCAATCATACACATGTAATGGCATTGCAAGTGATTAGGAATAGATAATGATGGTACCTTGTTAAAAGCATAAAAACAAGTACTGGTGATGTTGTAAAATACAGAAAACAAACACTAAAAAGCTATACATAGCGTTTAGCAATAATCAGGAAAACTAGCACAAATATAAAGATGAAACCCCAATGAACGATCCCATAGAAAACAGTCAAAAATAGCAAGCAGAAGCCAAAAATCGTTGTAAATACAACGCACATGATCCCCAAAGCTTCGAAAAATATAAAAAATGAAATATTCTTGGGATCACCCAATTAAAATCAAGGTGGTGCAGCGTATTAATGTTAAATGTACTTGGTGAATTAAATTTAAAAATAAACGTCCGACTGACGCATCTCGCGAATCTCCTCTAGCACACACAGGTACAAGCACGTATATTATACCCAGATACCCACCAGAGCGTTCTCCTTCCTAGAGAAAGAGAAAAAAGTGCTCGGAAGACGGAGGTGAAAGTATGATGAAAGCCACCGGCGCCACGGAGTGTATAGGTAGAGATCTCCGCTGTAACCACCACTACCAGGAGAAAGCACGAATAACAGGATTAACAGGACACTGCTTGAATGTACACACGCACACGCTACTCCCTTGGACTCAAGTTCAGCACGAAGTCCGGAGTCTAGACAGTATTTGATGTTTACTTACGTCGTGTGCAGACCTAAGGATCACGCCAGCTCTTGCTGATTGATTTCGTGTGTCTGTGTAGCTGGTCTCTGTAGTGTACACTGAGTATACTCTATTCCCCCGCACGCACTCCGTTTTTTTTTTTTTTTTTTTGCTGCGGATGCGGAAAAGCGGGATATGCACGACTTGAGAGGTTGGTAAAGAAGGCATTGACGTTGTGGACGTGATGATAATTTTAAAAAATAAACAGGAATTTTAAGTAATATTTCCGTACGAGTTAATTTCTTAATTATTTAACAACATTTTAATTTGTACCAAAACTTGATACTCTAGATTTATTTAATAGAATCTATTGTATTCATGCTATATTCATTACTAGTATAGTTTTAGGCACAATGTCGCCAACCCATCTATTCCTATGAAGCATATTTTTCTCCTTTGTTCTTTACTATCTTAGCTCTGAGGCCTAAATGAAAAAAAATTATTTGTTAGCAAATAACAATTCTGGGCAAAATCAATAATGCAGAAAGAACTAAAATAATTTGACCTTAAGATAGTAAAATAAAGAAGTAAGCCAACACGCAATCTGCGTTAATGAGTGTAACCCCCAAATAACCCCCTCTTCTTATCTTATATATCCTCCTCAATGAGGAGTCCTCATCACTTGTTTTTTATTCACACTAAGTAAGTAATGTTATTTTTTCTTTGGAGTTGTGTAAAAAATCAAAATCCCTGCAATGAAATTAATGAAATTCTTGCAACTCTTTTTATCCCTCATGTTTCTCATATACCTACAGGCGGTCAGTCAGACCCAAAATTTAAAAAATACTCATCGATTTAAATTTTTTTCAAATGAAGTCAAAAGATTGTCATTTGTCTAAGTAGTTTTTAAAAAACCTGTTGAAGACCAACAAAATTATTTACTTAATGGAATGACCACCAGAGCCCAGGTACTGAGGAACTGAGGTACTTTGTACATTTTATGTACATAAAAATAGATAAACTTCACAGTATTCCTATTTATTTATTTTCATACATATACCATGCCCAATTGCAATTACCTCGCTGTAGGGATCGAACTGCTCCAACTACCTACCTATAGGGTACTTACTACACGTGCTTTTGCGTGACCAAAATTTGGCGGCAGTACTTCACTAAGTATATAGTTTTTTTATTACTGCTCTTTTGTTCGTCTGGCTTGATGTCGACGGAAGAACAGAGTTGTTGATAAATTTTGATTTCTTTTGCGTGAAATTTATTGTTACAAAAAAAGCAACGCTTATTGTTGGTTAATGGTTCATCGAGAATATGAACGTTTGTGCGACTGGCAATGTCGTCATTGTGGAAACAAATCTGATCGAGGAGAATAACAAGAATGTACCAGTCAACGTTAGCTGCGATGGTTTTCAGGATTACTCAGGATCGCAGGATATATTTTCAGGTAAGGATCACACCGACGTATCTACTAAAATTAAGACGTGACCACAAGTACACCAGGCTTCCAACAAAAGTAAATATTAATCGTTTAGACGGTTTGGCATGCGCGAGAATAGGTTGGATGTTTATTTGTTATTGATGAGACGATTTTGTGTCTCTGTTGTAGTATATAGTCAACTGATTGGTAAGTTATACGTATATACGAGAATCGTGAATTGGTGAATCAAAAGTACAGCTGACTTTATTTGTCTTGATTCCCACACAAGCATACCTACATACAACAATAGAAAATAACTAAATTTGATAACCTACGTATTTATGTACATCTTTTTTTTATTTTTTTAGATGATGACCAAGTAAAAAGTACAACATATTTTTCACCAAAAATCACATTAGCTAATAACACGCACAATTCGTCAATTATTTCGTTAAAAACTCCGACACTTTTCAAAAACACTGAAGAGTAAGGGTGAAAAATGACCATCATTTGCTAATTTAACTCCACAACATAGCACTTAAAAATATTTATACTTTTGTTTTAGATCTCCTGGTAAAGCAATAATACCAAGAACTCCAGCTGATCTTAAGTCATTTATCGCTAAAACAAGCCTATTGTGGACCAGTGACATGGAGACTCCAGAGAGCAATCTTAGAGGAAAAGCTGATAACTGTGATAAAACGGAAAATTCTGTCCATACGGTAAATTTGTTGTCCATCACATATTATGAATATTTTTTGTTTTTTATATTAAATTTATATTCGTTTCAATGTATGCATGTAGTAATTTACAGCTTGATTATAATTTTATTTTATGTTTTAGAGTTCAATGTCTCTGCCAAAAACTCCGAATTCCAAAGAGGTAAAGCCAGGAATGGATGCTCTTACTTCTCCAGTACTGGGAGGGAAAAAAAGATCCCGAAAATATGCAAAACGTCGAATTCTGAGCACCATTAATATGGATTTAGATATTGATCAACAAAGTAGTATTAGTAGTAATAGTGATAAAGTTCCTTCTGATGCGGCTGATTCAGTGAATAATGAGCCTATTACAGACAATAAATTGGAGCCAATTCCAAATGAATGTTTCAGTCCTATCAAAAGCATTTCAGATTTAAATGAAAATAAACCACTTTGTGTAAGTTCCAATTTTTTTTTTTCAGTATAATATTTATAGATCGAAACTTCACTTATGTATCATTTTTTAGAAGAATACAAAATTTGACAAGAACAGCAATACGTCAACACAAGAATTTTTCATCAATGCATCGTTTACGTCCATCGATCAATTGTGTTACAGTATTAATCAAGATGAAAAACCTAGTTTGACAGATTTATCAGAATCGCGTGTTAAAAAATATAATATTGTTAAAGAAGAAAATGAAGACGTGGATCATCACATGCTGGATAGGATTGCCTCTATAAAACGCAATCAAAAGCCTTTAAAGAGACTATCGGATATTAATCATACTATTATTCCAAAAGAAGTGTTTTCTAGTTCGGTCAAAGATCTTGAAATCGCAAACGCAAAGTTTACCGTCGAAAAAAGAGATACAAAAAGTGAACCTCTGAAATCAATGTCTTTTACAAAATTTTCAGATTTGAAAAATTTGTTAGAACAGAATGAACAATCAAAGAAAGATGAAGAACCAAATAATCATTTCAACAATGCAGTGCCACCTGAATTTGTGGAAGATTGGAATGCAATGGACCTTCAGGTAAATGAAAATGTATTTGTGAAAAAAGAAAAACCTGACGTAAAACCCGCAATAGGAGATTTAATAACTCTACCGATAACCAGTACAAACAGTGAAGGTAATGTAATTTGTAATAGTAATTTAATTAAGAAAGAATTATCTGACTTGGGTATTTCTTCGAGTGAATCTGACACTGGATTTTCAACAGCCAATGGTAAAGGCATTGTTGTAAATGAGGATACTCTGTTGAACTATAAAAAAATTTATAGTGAAATAGAAAGTGAAACTTTAAATGAAAATACCTTTATTGGCTTGAAAAAAAACAAGTTGCAGTTGCCTAAGAGTAAAGATTGCACTTCTAAATTTTCATCTGTAGCAAATGTAAATAAAAGTTCATTAGTTGAAGATGGAAAGTTGAAAAAAGTTGAAAAATTAAAGCTTTTTGAAGAATTAGATTTACAAGAATTTTTAGAACCAAAATCTAGTGCTGAGTGTACTGAGACAATGAACAACGGTTTTTCAACCGCTAACGGGAAACATATTAAAATCAGTGAAGAAAAAGAAAATTATTATTCTAATGTGTATAATGAACTGAGTGACGTCAATCAGAATAGTTTGAACACTTTAAAAGCAAACAAAAAACCATCATTAAAACTAAACACAAAACCGTCAGAGAAAACTGTTAATTTGATGGGTGGAAATAATTTTAATAATTGTACAATCACGTCTTTAACTTTCATTGAAAACGGAATAGAAGTACTTGATAAGCAAACTACTGATGGCTTTTCAACTGCACGTGGTAAAAAAATAGATGTCAGTGACGAAAAAGAAAATTACTATTCAAATGTGTATAAAGAGTTGGACAATGTTGACGAAAACGGTTTGAGTTCTTTGAAGCGAAGAAAATTGCAATCAAAAACTATTAAAAAACCTTTCGATAAAGCTGTAGTTGCATTCAATAGAGACATAAAAAATTCTAAAACAACGAATGCTGTTGAAAATAAAATTACAGTTGTAGATACAAAAGCAACAAATGATTGTTTCTCAACAGCTGGAGGAAAAAATATTTCCATTGATCCAGAAAAAGAACAGTTTTATTCAAAAATGTACGAACAGTTAAGCCAAGAGGTCAATAACGAAAACAGTCTTCTTCATCTGAATAAGAAAAAATTTTCAAAATTGAGTTGCAATAAAAATCATATCAACAAACCTTCAACCTCGATGAATCGTAATAAAAAGAGCATCGAAGATGTGAAATTGTCCATGAGCAGCGATACTGACCATGTCTTTTATAATCTTGGTGATTTAGAAAAATTGTTCCAAATAGATTCTGCAAAAACAGAAGTCGGAAATGACAATTGCCTCTCTGTTCCAAGTGCATCACACACACCGGTGAATACTAATCCGTTCAGATCGCTTCCAAAGTCAATGCATACAATGGAAGGAAATAAAGCAGATATTGGTCTCTTGAGAACCAGCAGTCCAATAGCCAAACCAGAAAATAAGCCTATGAAGAGTCAAATAGGAAACCTTAAGCTAAAATTAGAAAGTTGCGAGCCAAAGAGGACAGAAAGGTGCCGATCTTTTTGCGGTTTCCCAGTAGCCAATAACGTCAGTCCAGATGCACTCAAGCTCAACAAATCCGATCCGGTTGATGAAACTTACGCAAATCAACCGCTTCAACAAGGCTTGTCAATCAGCCAGTGCTTTGATCCTCATTCAGATTCTTGGTTGTCTAAAATCGAAATCAGCCATCTGAACAGCTCTAAAGTAAATTCACCGGATCCAAAGGTGAAGAAGCATAAAAGCAAGAAGGAAGAAAATACTGCACTAGCTAGTGACTCAAAGTCTGAGAAATTTGGTGATCTACGAGGTTTTTCGTTTCAAGACTCTGTCGAGAGCTTTCGTCGTTACTCGAGGTATGAAAGTTTCCTTAAGAAACATCTCGTAAAGTACGACAAGTGTATTGATCTGTACATCTACGAAGGTGAGACCATATCGATTTCCAATCAGACCTCGGTAAGACAGCACCTATCTGTACAATGTGCGAACACGTTAAATGTGCAAAAAAGCACGAAAGTGTCTCATTACGATGTGATAAAAGCTTCGCCTGTAAAATTGCCAGAAAAGTGTAACGTCGTGATCGAGAAAGTTGCTAAAGGTGGTGAGAAACGAAAGCACATGGACACTGAAGTCACGCCGTTAACGAGAGTGAAAAAGCCTAGGGTTGGCTTTGAGTTTCCCGGCAAAAAATTGTTCTCCAATGAATCCGATATCGAGGAGTGCAGTAGCAAGTTCAATGAGCAGAAAAACAGTTTACAGTCATCCCTGAAAGAAACTGAATTGCGCGTCAAAGTAGTGGACAAGGACTTGTCTAAAGAGCGGTGGAGAGCTATCCAACAACAGGTATGTTTTTACATTTGAAAAAAATATTTCCCATATCTTTGAAACAAATTTCAAAGACTTGTTACAACCAGGTATTAATGAGATTGCGTTCTTGTAGGAAAAAATAATAAAAAATAAAAAGCAGATAAAAGTTAAGCCTGTAGTAGGTAGTTTGTTACAAGAGCGACTTGTAAATAGCAAAAATCGAAAATCATGGTCTGATATAGTAGGCAACTTTGTGCCTAACGCTCGTAAGACTGAACACGTAAGAATTTTAATACTCAAATTGATTTTACAAAGTTCATCATAATAGCCACATTCATGAAAAATATTTACGTTTGCAGATAATACTAGATCATCCCGATGCAAAAGTGCTCGAAGTTACAGCATCAAACGCTATATGCTATAAATTTATTTCTTCTAACATCATTGGGTTTGTACTAACTCATAACTTTAAATGAATCGAAAACAATCATTTCAACATAAATTTTTTGACCATCACAAAATTATTTCAGAAATGAAAAGGTTGTTAGTTTAGATGTTGGTGACGGTGCGAGTTTAATTTTCGACGAAAACGGTCACGCTGGTGTTGCCGAGTTTGTTAGTGCATTTTTGGCAATGCAAGGCGTTGATCCAAAACTTTTACCCACAGGCTGGATTGAAAATCATTACAGGTGGATTGTTTGGAAGCTCGCTTCGATCGACAGAATACACTTTGATTCCTTGCATTTGCCAAAGTAATAAAACCAATTTTCCAATATTAGCTTATGGAAGGCAATTTTATATTAATTTTTTAATTTTTTTAGAACGTTAAAACCAGAGCGTGTCATGCAAGAATTGAAATACCGCTACGACCGAGAAATTGATCGGGCAGAGAGACCAGCTTTAAGGCGGATCTTGGAAAAAGACGACGTTCCAACGCGTCGTATGGTTTTGTGCATCTCTTTGGTCGAAGAGGTAATGATTACGGTGCTTTTATTTTTAAAAAAACTACCAATAGTTGATGAAAATTTCAGCAAAAATTTGGTGACGAGACAGAGAAAGAATCTCGAATTAGATTAGGCTTGTCGCATTTAAGAGTTGAAGCTACAGATGGCTGGTACAGCATTCCCCTAACACTAGACAACTCAATGACGAGTTACGTTTTGAATGGCAAAATCAAAGAGGGCACTAAAATTATTACCTATGGTGCTGAGCTGCTAGAGTGCGAAAGAGGATTCCATCCTTTGGAGGTAAAAACATAAAAATTCACCTGTTTTTTTGAGTGATCACTATTGCATTATTAAATGTAATCTATTCCCTGATTTTAAGAAACCAACAAACGTCAGTTTAAAACTACATGCAAATTGCACAAGGCGAGCGAGATGGGACACAAAACTGGGCTTTCAGCTCAACTCGCGACCATTGCCAATTAAACTAAAAACTGTTTTGCCTAATGGAGGTCTTGTCGGTCAGGTGACTATTGTTGCAGCCAGAGTGTATCCACTATTGTATCGCGAAAAGACCGCGAATGGCCAATCAAGTATGACTTCACGCCAGTTTATAATTAAAATAATTTAATAGTACTGATATTTTTTTATTATAATTTTTTTTTTTTTTTTTTTAAGTATACCGCAACGCCAGGAGCGAAGAAAAAGCCGCAATAGCTCACGAGCGCACTTGTCAATTGAAAATGGATGTCATGTACGCCGAGGCTGAAAAAAAATTCGATTCAAAAAATAAATCGGATTCTGATGAGGAATTTGAGCTTTCTCAAGTAAGTAAAATCATGATAACATATTTTTTTTGTGTAATTACTAACAAAATAATTTTAAAAATTTCATGCAAAATTAAGAGGGCCACGAAATCGCAAGAAAAAATGTTTAAACACGATCACTTGGAGCGCAAGCAGGAGCAATTCAAACAGAGACTAGAGTCAAAAATGCGAGAGGGTTTGCCGCCACCACGGCAGGTGACACCGGTACTCAAGGTACGCTTGGTCGATGACAGGTCTACGGCGATGTTGAGTATCTGGGGTGCCAACGAGGACTCGAGCTACGATGTCAAGGAGGGTAGCACTATCACTGTATACAACGCGTTTGCTTCTGCTGGCAGGTGAGGGTGAATGTTATTTATAAAATCCCTTAATCAATCGACTCACATTATACTTGAGGCATATCGCGGACAAATAGCGAGTAATAAAATTATTTTAAAAATAAATAAATCTGACGTTATGAGATGAAAAAAAAACTGGTGTCTGAAAATAAGGTTTTTTTGCAGAGGCAATGAGCTCAGTCTTACAGCCAACAGATTCACGCACTTGAAGACAGAGACGATGCTGAAGCTGCCTTATCCCATTCGAATTTGCACTCTGATACCCGACATCACATCGTCGTGTTTCGAGCCTAAATTCAATGAAATCGATACCATCGGTGTCGTTGTTTCCTGGGGTCCAGCGCCATACGTAAGTTTTATCCAAAAGTTTCCAAACTACCTTCACCACTGCGTTATTCATTTTTGTATTTTATTATGCAATTGACGCTTTATTGACAGGGTATGAAAAACTTTGACGTGATGAATCTCGCCTACCCAAAACCAGGCAACGAAGGCTCATCCTATTTATCAGTACTATTCTGGGGTGGTATCAATTCGTACGGCTACCAAGGATTATTCACTCCAGGCGCTGTTGTTGCTTGCAGCAATTTGGAGTACCGAAGGAACAGTGCCTGGAGCGTAGCGCTCGCCTATTGCTCGGAAAAGAGCGTGTTCACCTGCAATCCTCGACAATCTTACCTCTCCAAGGAGATTCGTAGTCTTAAAGATGTCGTTCAGGTAGCCGTCTAATGTTTTGTTTTAATTTAATTGCTAAAAAAAATATGTGTACATCACAGAAATTAATTAATTATTTTTTACTTTTTTTTCAACAGAATCCGGTAACTTATGCGGAAAGCTGCATCAATGAGGTTCAAGCTGAGTTGTCGAAAAAGCTAAAGCCTCGGTCGAACCAGAGCACACCTACGGGACCGATTTCCGAACGAACGTCCTTTCACAATAACTCATCGTTGCTCGGTCCACAGGACAGCCCTGCCGGTATTACGATACAGCGTCGCTTAGAAAAGCTGTCGCAATACGGTAGCATGTCGGACGTTTCGCCGCACATTGTGCTTAAAAACAGCTCGTCACGCGTAAAAAAAGACTATACGCCCGTAACACCTCGTTATGGTACCCGATAGTTGATGACTTTTTGTGAAACGTTCGCGAATTCTGTACAAATGTTTTTCTGTTAAAAAAGTATAAATATGTTGTTTTCTTGTTAAATGTACAGTGAATGATCGGTATCTACTGGTCATGCTTTAAATGTTGTGTTGTTATTCAAGTTAATTATATGGAAGCAAAAATAGTACTTTGGAAAATTCGGGCCGTCGATCGGATCGAACTCTTCTTTAATGAGGTATATAAATATAATCGATATTGAGACTATAAATTTTCTTCAACTGTTGACTTCATCAATAAGTTAATTAAATGAAATCATTGTAAATAGGAAAAAAAAACATTTTGTTGTTATTAAAAGTTTTCTTTCAAAAACTTATGTGCATTTAAATAGTTTTAAATGTTGCTGAAACAGTTAAGTACGAAAATTTTTAATAAATATTATTCATAAGTTACTGTAAATACAAAATATTTCCTACCGAAAATTGAACAAAACTCAAATATTGGATAAGTAGCAGCAAATGACTCTGTCGTTTATTAACGTTACAATTATAAACAAATCAAAACAAACGTACTATATAAATAACACAAAACTGTCCTTTAGATATTGACAACTTTGTGCAATGAAGCGTTAAATCTGGAGAGAGTTTTACTAAGATTATTTGAACTTCACTATCAACTGTGGTTCATTAGTACCTATATATTTCAATACAATCGACAAAAGAAATCTTTATTTTTGTAAATCATTTTAAAAAAAAAACAATGAATAAATTTATGTTTACATTCCAAAAAGAAGTTGTTATATTAGTCTTGTATACAATGTACCGTAATAGCTTGCATCAAATAGGATGTAAGGTATACACCCATGATACGGAAGCAGAAGGACTGCTACCTTTTATAATAATAGGCAGTCAGCTGTCTATACTTACCTGTTATTACCCTACAACATGCACGAGGGTTCTTTGACACCTGGCAAGCTCGCCAGTCTAGTTATTCCAGTATGCAGGGACAATGTCAACTATATACGCTAACCGGAAGAAGAAGAAATAAAGGAGAAAAAAATAAGCTGTTATGAAACCATTCACCCCTATGGATTAGATTACTTCAAGTGTTACACACATGTGAATAGTCCAAAAGAAGGATATTATTGTGAAACGTTTCGAGTAGGTCGATAATATGGATCAGCTTTAGATTTGCAAGATGAAAATACGTACCTATTTGAAGAAAATTCATGTAAAACAGCACGAACATACGCGTATTTTGAGTAAATCGAAAATTAGCCTCGAAAGGTCATACTGGTGTTTACCGATAAGGCTCCGAGATATTCAAATTTTACCGGTAGTGCGGTATAGTTGCGGAGTCATCCGTAGCCGGCACTGGCGCCGCTGGCATCGAGGAAAGAACACGTTTTGTTTGAAAAGAAAATGTGCGCTTTGCTTGGCCGAGTGTCAGCCTCCAGAGACAGTTCGGCGCGTAGTCTCGAGCGGGACGGGTGTGATTTGTTTCCAGCTTAGCTCCGGAAATAAGCACGCGCTCGCTCACAACTGATAACTAATTTACCTACCGTTAAAATTTGAAGGACGAAAATCTTGGCGTGTTTATCGCGGGAATCGTTGTGTGGCAAGTGTACTTGTTTTGCATTTTTGTTTTTGTAAAACGTATCATGTTCGTTTCGACGTGAGGGATAACGGCGAGTCAGCTCTGATGCAGTGTCGACTGCATCTCGGAGCCGGTGAGAGAAATAAGGGTGTGCGTTGATTGTTTATCTTGGTGCGCGAGCATCAAAAACTAACTTAACGTCACCTGCAGATCGAACCATCAGCCGGTTGTACAACTTTGTCGATTGAATCGCGGACGAAGACATCACAAACATGTCTCAGGAACAGGAAAACGGAGGCGTAACAGCGCCGACGACGAGGGTCGAGTTCGCCCTCGGCGAGGAGGTGTCCAACGGTTTGTTCAAAAGCAGCTACGCCCGGTCTTTCATCAGCTGCGGCAGCAAGTCGCTCCTCGTTGCCAATGACAACAATACCATTGGTTCGGACTTTGCTGGGAACAATTACTACTCGCTCGGTCAGGGGAACATGGGGTTTGTCGGTGGCGAGATGACTCCTTTTTCCCAAAGCTTGATACCCGATGTACAGATGAGCGACGAGGTGAGTCCACAATTATTTATACCTTTTTTTAGAGATAAGCCAAGTATTTTTTTATATTCAATTGTTTCTTGAAAATTCGCAAAGCGTTTTCAAGTTCACTTTTACTGTGAATCGGATGTACGTGTACGTTATCTCTCTCCGCGTGTCTATTATACTCATATATTTCGAATTGTATCCGTTACGTTGAAGTGTACATACTTAGTACCCGATTGACGCTGGTGTATTTTTATAATCATTATTTAATCCACCACGTAGCACAAAATGTTTTTTTTTTTTTTTTTTTTTTTTTTTCACTTTTTTTGAAATTGGCAATCTGTCATACTTGAGTACTCGAGCCATGTAAGATAAATTGCGTAAAAATAATCGGCGCGCTAATATCAATTAGGGCGCTCATTAAGACGGCTTTCCGTACGCTTGTTTACATTCGAGAGTCCAGGTAATGATACTCGACATTCGAGGTTGAGGCTGCTAAAAAAATCATGATCTTGCGAAATTTTCAACTTTTTCCCGCATCGAAGAAAAAAAAAAAAAGGAAAATATCATCTGTCAAAATTTAAAGATCCTCTCGCACCTGCAGCTGCGTATCGAGAAGAGGGTTGGGGAAATACAGTCCCACCAGCGGGTCTCCCTTCCAAAAGAAAATTGTACGAAAACAAACACAAGAGCATTTTTTTCTCACGCACGACGTCATCGTGCCGAGAAAAGAGAAAGAGAGAGAGAAAACGAAAGTCCTGTGGCGAGAGAGATATCCTGTAGACTGCACGGAGTCTTTTGTAACATCGTCACAGAGCTGTGACCGCATATAGTACCTGTATACACGTACAGTATCGGTATGGTATATACGCTGTGCAAGGATCTAGAATAATGCAGCGGCAGGAGCAGGTATACATACGAGAAAAAAAAAAAAAAAGAAAGTTTTCACGAAGGAAACGAGCCAAGACCAATAACGCTCTCCTCGTCAGCTGTTCCGTCTACGCATTGTGTACATTTAAAACTCAAACACGCACGTATACCATTACGTGTATTATTCATAGTTTTAAAATACCGGCTTGTCCATCACGTACATTCGGAAAATTTGTTTTCCCCTGCGTATTATAATTTTTCTCTCTACGTTTTCGCCGAATACGTGCACGTGTTTTACAAGGACAGCTCACACGAAACCTCTTCACGCCCCTTTATATACTGTAGACCATCACAGATTGAATCGTTTAAAATCAAGTTGTAAATTTATGCGTCAAATATGAGCGAAAAAGAATAAAAAAATTTTTCCCACATTTTAAATCTCTATGTGTACCATCAAACCTAACGACCACGATACATATATAGTTGATCCTATTTTGTATAAATATAATACTTGACAGAGTCTTTTATCGCAAAAAGAAACGTCCCGGTTCACACACGCGCAACATAATCGTTCAACAGCGGAAAAACTAGCTCAAATCAAAAGCAATTATAAAAATAAAAAAAAAATTAAAAAACGCGAGAGCTCAATTCGTCGAAATTGGGGCGCTCGTATTTCTTCCTCCATATTTTTAAAGATTTTATTGTGGTACACTATAAATGTGAAAAGTGTACACGTACAACACGAAGCCGTCACGTGAGCGGTTAAAAATAGTGAGGCGCGTCGTCACGCCGGCGAATCGTTTGACCCGAGAAAACCCATGCTAACTCTACTACATATTATACCCTTCCCTCTTTTTATATTCTCTTTTTTGTCTTACGAAATCGCGGAAACTTTATTTTTTTTTTTTTTTTTTTCAAACAATGGTTTTTTTTTCTCCCCGACCGCGAGGAGGTGTGCGCGTACAAATGATACGATGATTTTTCAGGCATCAAAGATAATCACCTCCGCCTTTGAATCGCACCCGATGTTATCTCGCTCCTTTTTTTTTTTTAATGGAAATATAAACATACAGGTAATGGAATTGTATTCCTTCATTTTTACCGAGTACGTATATATACTCGATTCACCAACAGTTGCAAGGAGCTGACAAAGGGCGCTAGGCGCTAGGCAAACAAATGCAAATCCGAGCGAGCGCGCGTGATTGAAATATTCATTTCGCCACTCACTTACGACGTCACCGGCACTTCCGATAACGTTGCGTTTGTTTGCCTTTTTCCCTGCGAGAAGAGAACAAAACAAAAAAAAAGGAGGGGGGGAGAAAAAAAAACAAAGACAACGCCGAAAGGGAAATGACGAGTGCGCGGTGGAGGGAGGCAGAGGGAAAGACAGAGGACCGCCAAAAGAAAGGATTCACGGGCCGTTTCCGTCGAGGCGTCCGCGTGCGAGGAGAAAACAAAAACAAAAAAGCCCAAGGGAGAGAGACGGCCTGTGCGTGGGAGCGTATTGTATATACATGGGTGCACCGGCTATACGAGAGACAAGTTGGTGATGGTCCGTCGTCGCGTGCTTTGTGGCCCTAAAATTCTCATCGCCGATTAAAAAAAAAAAAAAAAAAAAAAAACACCTGCAAACATCCTTTGCGTGCCTGTCTTGCTGCTGCACAATCGCCTTTGTGCATCCGTGCTTCCCTTCCCGAATCTAATATACCTACGTGTACATATATATAGGCGAACGCATTGCACGAGAGCACGAAGAAACGATAAAACCTTTTTTGGGCGCACACCATAGTACACAAGGACTGTCTAATACGTATACTACTTTTGGCTACATACACTCTCTACGTCTACGGAGATTGCAAAGGCCATGGGAATTTTTACACAGGGTTTCTTTGCAAGTCGATAAATTCTTCCTTCGAAAGTCAGCATGTCGGTACAAAGTATCATAGAGTTTTTACATTGTATGAATCATTGAAAATACCAGTTACAATTATATACCTTACCTGTTGGTACACATTTGGAAACGATATCGGCTGACGTAACATACAAATAGTAAAACTATTTATGTGAACGTATAATTATAAGATCAACGACTAAATATAAAAACAATGTGTCATTTTCCAATTTAAACTCAATTTTACCTTACCTGTACGTTTAACGTTCAACCGAGTACTTATCCTGTAAACTTTAGCAACACTTTGATTCGTTCGAGACGAGATGATTTACGTAGAGGCAAATTTCACTTTGCTTCGCCATCCTAGTTATGAAGTATCATCACGAAAGCGCATTTCGCTGCTCAAAAAACACCGACGAGTACAAGTATGCTAAATTTCCTTCGTTGCGAATTTGTATTCCGCTAAACGCGCAAAAATGCCACGCGTTCATGGCGAAGATTATTTTTGCGTTGGCCAACCGAACTAAGGCTGACATAATTTGTGCAGCGCGAGATTTCGTATGCAAATGGCGTAGGCAACATTATATGCATATTTCACGTATAGAATGAGCTCGTTTTTTGAAATCAACAAACAAGCGTCGAAACGATTTTCGTAAAATCTGCATGTATTTGCATCACCCGATCAAAAGGTAGGGGTGTACACACCCTCGTTTCTCAACCTATAAATCTCCGTGGAAGAGAGAGAAAAAAAAAACAAAAAAAACAAAAAAAAGAAAAAAAAGATCTTGTAATCGATTTATTGCACATGCATATGTTGTACGCGAGAGCAACAGCACCGGCGAGGGAGAGATTTTCTCATGCAAATCCTCGCGAAAACCCGAGAGCAGTAGTCAATCATTGGAGCCGAGATGAATTTATCTTCCCGCGTTGTCCAAGAGCCTGTCTCTTCCAACGCAACAATGCACTCGCGATTTCTTCCTCTCCCAGTAAAGCTATTAGCCTCACTTTGAATGTTGGTGGAATGAAGAAAGAAAAAAATTGCAGAGTCCATATTTTCTCACGACGCGTGAGCTTGATTATTACAAATCGGGCGATTGTCCCGCGAATCGACGCCATCGGTACACCTAAGTAATTTCCGCCAGTTACACGCCTACGCCAAAAATGGCACTTGGAAATTATCGCCTCTAGAAAACTTTATTAAACATTTTGCAGCTATTTCATGATAGTTAGGGTTGTTTGCAGTTGAAATTACAGTCCATTTTAAGTTTATTCATCTAATCAAAATAATAAATGTCCTTCCTTGACCAATTGTCCAAGCATTTTCTCGTCAGCTTCGCCATTGATATTAAAATTTGGTCTTTTACCAGAAATTGTGAAAAATGGACACTTTGCGTTTTCAAAAGAGTTGTTGGATAACTCATGATTAATAGGAAATTGTGTTTGCGTCCATACAGCGGTACACCGCCGAAACGCAGCGTTGAAAGGAGCTCGGGTGGTGTACAGTAATTATAAATTTTGTCTCGACCCGCGTGCCATAATTTACTTCAGAGCGAGTATTAAAATACGCCGCGAAAGCTAATTACTTTCGAGTTTAGTTTCGCACGAAAGAAGTAAAGGACGTAGTAGGTACTTACTATCTACTACTGCAACATCGGCATTGAAATCATTTTTAAATTCATCACAAACCACATATACTCGTCTCTTACAATCAGGAGGTTTTTTTTTCTTCTTTTTTTAAGTACGAGTTAGCAAAATCCAAAGACTAAAATTTGCTGTATATGGACACAGGGGCCCACTCATCTCATACTTGTACCTCTTCAGGCCAATCGCGCGTTCTTCAGAGTCACGGTATCTCATGAATTTGTCAAAAAAAGACACGAGATCTCGAAAAGAAAAGAAACAAAAAAAAAGAAAAAATGTTTCTCACCATCGAGAGCTCATACCGTTATATTAAACTCGTATTGTACGATAGCAGGCAGCTCATAACAAGCATATAAATCCCAAGAATCGCGTTACTTTCGAGAAACAGCCGTGATAATAACAATAATGAAATACATCCGCGATTACGTGTCAACCGAGCAAAGTACCACGTGATACCGGGGTCCCCGCAGCTAACTAGCCCCACATCCCATATACACCGGAAAAGCCAAGAGAGAGAGAGAGAGAGTGGTAAATAGAGCAAAGGGATATTTTTCGACCCAAGCGAAATCCCTATATACCGATAACCATTACCGGGAAGGAAAGAGAGAGGGGCCTCTGCCCCCGG